TATGTGTGAAACGAATTGTTCCTTCCTAAGTGGAGCACTTTGCATTTGTCTGTATTAAACTTCATCCTGTTTACCTCAGATCATTTCTTCAACTTGCCCAGATCATTTTGCATTATGACCCTATCCTCCAGATTAGTCGCAACCCCTCCCAGCTTGGTATCATCTGCAAATAGCAGAAGCTAGGAACTATAGAAAAATGGTGAGGGCTAAAAGGAAGTCTTGGCCAGCAGAATTGTGGACAATAAAATGGAGCTTTTAAAGTAATTTAGAACCAAGAATTCATTATGACTTTTTTGTGGTTTTCCACTGGTGGCTGCCTAGGGCTGAGAGTGGGGCCTAGGGCTGACAGCAAGGGCTACCGCTGTCAACTGTCATCCCTATGCATGGCAGGCCTCTCTCTGTCAAAACTATGCTGGAAGCACACAGCCTGATGGAATGGACAGAGCAATCTGGTTTGCTTGGTAAGCTTGATCCATGCAAACAGTGTATGTTTCAAGACAAGCAAATGTAAATGTGTACTTCTAAGTACAAATACCGTGGGCCATACTTACAGGATGCAATATTACCCTGGGAAGCAGTCATGCTGAGAGATTTGGGGCTCATGGTGGATAATCATGGAGTGTGGCCAAGTGAGCTAATGTGACCCTGAGCTGTATAAACAGGGGACTCTCAAGCACGTGTCGAACGGTCATTTTACCTTTTCTAGAATCCAGTGCTCGGTTCTGGTGGTCACAGTTCATGAAAGATGTTGACAAATTGGAGAGGAGTCAGAGAAGAGCCACAAGAGTGATTAAAGATTAGAAAATCTGCCTTATTTGAAAGACTCAAGGGGCTCAATCCATGTGGCTTAAGCAGAAAGTTCAAGGGTGGCTTGCTTACAGTCTATAAGTAACTGCACGGGGCACAGGTATTTAACATGATCCCGTGGCTGAACCTTGAAATTAGACAAATTCATGCAGGAAGCAAGGTGTACATTTTTAATGGAGAAATTAACCATTGGAACAATTTACCATGGGTCAGGAGGGATTCTCCATCACTGGCAATTTTTAAATCAAGATTGGCTGTTGTCTTAAAGCTCTTCTCTGGCCTGTGCCATACACAATGGGCCCTAGGTTCTGAGAGTACCAAACATGAGATGACTGTGACTTTCTGCATAGCTCTCCACCAGATGGCTCCTCCAGGAGACACATCCAAAACCAGAAGACTTCAGAAAGTTCAGAGAAGAGCAATAGGACTGCTCATGAGGCTCCGCAACAGCTCTGGATGGAAGCAGGCTGCATGCAAGGCCTGTTCAGGTCATAGAAGGACAAATGGTTTTCAGTCCAGAAGAGCCCTGATATCCTGCATTGCCTGACAGTGACTCCTGCATCCAGCCCACATCTTGTGGTTGAGTGAGAACTTATCCTTCAGAGACATCCATCCTTGCTTTGGAGATTTGCAGTGAGGGAGTCTGTCAGGTCCCTTGAGACTCTGTTCCAATGGGTCTGTCCCTTCAGGGTTAACAGATTGCATCTTATTTTGAGTTTGAACTGAGTTTCCAGCCATTGACTCTCATTAGCCCTTTGTGAGATTAAAGAGCATGCTGCCACCTCTTCCCCCGTGGTGATATGAAGAGGACGAGGTCCAGCCACAGAAAGAGGAATGGTGTTCTGGTGGATGATGCCTGGAAATGGAGCCCTGGGCATGCATGGCTGGGGCTAGTCCTGGGATTGGGGCCAGTGAGAGGGAGGTGAGGTTTCCTGGCGTAGGGCGATGTACGAGGAGATGCCTGAGTAGGACAGGTGGGGAGTGAAGTTGGCTCTAGTCCAGGGCGGGTGGACAGACGAGCTTTAAGGAGCTGCAGGAGAGTTTTCCATTTGGAAGTCAGGCAGGGATTTTGTTGGCTGTTGCAAGATGGCTGCTGTGGATGAGCGAGTGAATTACCAGCAGTCTGTAGGTGTGCAGGCGCCGCTCTGGTGAAGCAGCAGCACAAGGAGAAACTGAAGTTAATTAGGCTGAGTTTGGGGGTGGTGGCACACTGGGGAATCCCTAAGTCTGTAGGCCTCAACATTTCAACATGGAAGGTTGAGGAGAATGTGAAATCATGGGGCAAGGGACCCGGACCTCCATCACTCTGAGGCTGGCCTGGGGCAACATCTGTTTGTGTTTCTAGTGTCTCTGGTCCTGTGGTACTATGCTGTGGCTACAGCGTGCTGAGAGACACAGTGGGCAGGCAGGTACCAGCCCAAGAATCAGGATTTATTAGATTTGTAGTAACTAAGAGCTATGTTGGTTGTCATAACAACCGAGCTGATGTACTGGAGCATTCACATGACTTGACCCGCTTCGCTTTCTAAATATAAACCTGCTTTCACACTGCGTGTCTGAGACACGGGGCCAATTGTTGTGTAAGAATGAGCAGGGGAAAAGGAGAAATGCAGAATGGATAAAAATATTGAGGTAGGTGCAGCTGGGACCCTGTGCTGAGTTCTGTGTGTGCCCAGGGCACCAGCCAGGGCTGGCACCCCCCACCAGGCTCCATAGGTGCCCAGGGTATTATCCATGGGTGGCACCACAAACCAGGCTATCACATTGCAAACTCATGTCTAAGTGAGCGTTCAGGATCCTAGATGCCTCCCTCTCTTGCACTAGGGGCATGGGGTCAGTTACCCTCCAAGTAATCAGCGGAGCTCATCAGACGATAGTGCTTCTGGGGGTCGCTTTGTCCTGCTTCTCAGTCCCCACTGAGGGTCTCAGAGGCTCCTACGTTAGCGTCCTGTGTAAATGTAACTAGTGCCCTCTCCTAGCTGAGCTGTGAACATGTGACATCCTCTGGAACTAGTACGTGGGAGCAGGGCTTAGCTGTGTGCCTCTGGCGAAGCTCCAGCCCTGAATTTGCCAGCATGTGCTGCGAGCTACCGCAGCTCTGGAGAGTTACACAGATGTTTCCTCTCTAGGATCCCTCCGTCCAATGGGGGTGTTCCTGTCATTTGAAAATGGGAAATGATTGTTCTCTGTTAAACAAGCTGAGCTCATCTCGCAGGGTACCCTCCCCAGCTGGGAAGGGCTCTGGGGCTATGTGCAGTGCTTGGAGCGGCTGAGGCTCGCTGCTGGGCTGAGAGACCCTGCTGAATGCACCAGCGGTCCTGGGAGACCACCAGGAAGCGTAACTACCACTGGAGCCCGAGCTGATAGAAGTCTGAGAGAAAGGGAAATGTCTGGAAGTAGCCTGCTGCACCAGCTCCCTGGCTGCAAGCAGGCTCTGCTGTAGGGCTGCCCACTTCCAGCGCAGCCAAATGCTGGGAGGCAGGATGCTGGGAAACAGGCCTCAGGGCGGCAGTTTCTGGTCTGTAAGAAACACTCTTGTTCCGCAGGCATGAGTGTGCAGCAATTCCTAGCCTGGTACAAACCGGGACGGGCAAAATATGGCCCACAGGCTGAATCTGGCCTACCAGACATTTGGATCTGGCCTAGCACTATACTCAGGGACATAAAGTTCTGTGGCCCAGTGGAACCCTCAGGCAGGCTTTCCTACTGCCTCAGCCCCACACATTGCTCAAAGGGGTCACACTCCCCGGGGGGGGACTTCTATATGCTGGCCCTGCCCAAGCACAACCCTCACAACTTCATTTGGCTGGAAACTGGCCAAGGGGAGCTTCCTGGGCTGTTTGTGGGTGTGTACTACACTGGAGACTTCCTGTCCCCTACCCAAGGGGTGTTGAGGTGCAAACGTTGGCTCCATCAAGCAGCCACTGTCAGTGGTGTGTAGGTCTGCGGCAGCCAGGGAGCCTGTCAGAGGGCCTTGCTGCTTGGGAGCTGTCTTCAGTAAGCGCCTCCCAGCCAGAGCCTGCACCTGGTACCTCATCCCCTCCCACTCTCCAACTCCCTCCCTGTCACAACCCAAACCCTCTGCACCCCAGTCTCTTGCCATAGATCCCAACCCCCTCCTTCCCAGACACCACATCCCCTCATTCACACCCTCCAGTACTGTCATAGAAAAGTGCAGCCCTTGACCACTTACCAAATTCTTGGAGTGCCCCCCCATCAAAAATTATTGCCCAGCCCTGGACTAAAGGTCACAGTGATCCCTCTAGGCCTTAGAATCTATGAGATTCTAGTAGCCATCGTCTCTTGCTGTGCTTCTGATACTGGTTCTGCAGGGGGGTTGACATGCTACTGGAGGGGTATTTGACAGTCTGCTCTGAGAAGTTATAGATTTCTAGCTCTGCTATATTGGCTATAATGGAATGGTTCTTCCTGGTCTCCCTAGCTATGAGTATGCATGTGGGGCGAGGTTTCTGTGAAAGCAGTTTTCCCCTACCACTGCCTCCTCCAACCCCTTACAGCATGAACTTTCTCTGTCTCTCAAAGGAGCTTTGTTCAGAAACCCTGACTTCTCTGCTTCCCATATTTGCTATCTCTTTGTGACATTCTGTGACTGGTCTCAGATAGGCAGCTGTGTTAGCCTGTATCTGCAAAAACAAGGAGGAGTCTTGTGGCATCTTAGAGACTAACAGATTTATTAGGGCATAAGCATTGTGGGTAAAAGTGGGTTTTATGTTATGATCTGTTAGTCTTTAAGGTGTCACAGGACTGCTCCTTGTTTATTCTGCGACTGGGGAGCCTCAGGGCTGCGTCCTTAGCCTGTGGGGTGCAGGGAACAGCCAGAAGTTGGCTTGTGGGAGCGGGCTTGCCAGGAATGGCAGGTCAGGCAGGGGGTGATTGCTACCAGGTGCTCTGGTGCCCCCCTGAGCTGCATGGGGACTTTAGTTCCCTGCAAGCACTCCCAGGGCTGAAGCGTAGGGGCTAAGGGTTGGAAGTTTCAAAAGAACTTTTTTCAAAGGACCTTTTAGCCATTTTTCAATTGTGCCAGTGCAGAAGGGGTGGGAGGAGTCCCTGCAGCCACAAGTTCCTACATCTTTAAACTCCCCTTTCTCTTGCAATGATAAGCTGCAGACAGTTAGTTCCTCAATGGGTCAATACATCCGGGTATTCTCCCGCAGGAGCCAGTTGTCACTCCCATACGTGAGAGTAAGAGGCAGAGTGTCTGTTCTCCCAGCTCTCCCATAGCTGCACTCTCACAGCTGGAGCTCTCAAGGCCAGAAGGGACTCATCCAGGCTGACCTCCTGCAGACCAGAGGCTGGAGAAGCTCTACCGTGACACCTGCATCCAGCCAAGAACCCGTGGTTGAGTCAGAGCAGAGCTGTGAGAAAGAGACAGACATTCTTGATTTACAGACTGACAGATGGAGGATCCAGGAGGGCCCTGGGTAAGTGGTGCCCCGGTTAATTACCCTCACAGTCAGCACTTTATGCCTTTTCTCCAGGCTCAGATTGCCCGTGTCTCAGTTTCCAGCACTGGCTTCCTTTTGCTAGATTGAAGAGCCATCAGAGATTTTCTCCTCACGTAGGAACCTCCAGCCGGAGATTTGTAATTCTCACCTATCACCTTGTCAGCCAGGGTATGTCTACACTACCCCGCTAGTTCGAACTAGCGGGGTAGTGTAGACATACCCTGGCTGACAAGGTGATAGGTGAGAATTACAAATCTCCGGCTGGAGGTTCCTACGTGAGGAGAAAATCTCTGATGGCTCTTCAATCTAGCAAAAGGAAGCCAGTGCTGGAAACTGAGACACGGGCAATCTGAGCCTGGAGAAAAGGCATAAAGTGCTGACTGTGAGGGTAATTAACCGGGGCACCACTTACCCAGGGCCCTCCTGGATCCTGCCAAAGAGGAACTGGACACCATTATAAAGAAAGGGCCTTGGAAAACCATGTAAATGAGGGGTGATATTTCGTTTGGCCCAGTTTAGATCATTAATCTTCAGGCCAAGAGCTGGCTCACTCCGTGTTTGGACATCCTTAGTTCAGCCTTCCCCTTGGGCATATGCACTGAAAACTTTGCAACAGCTAGGTTGCTGGTCATGCTGTCTAGCCCCCTCTCATTAGATTTTGCGCTCCTCCACCTGCCTCACTCCATCTGGGGTCTCTAGCTTGGACCATCTTTGTGTCCTGTTCCTGTGTAGCACTTGGCTCAGAAGATCCCTGCTATCCCCCTGGGCTCCTAAGACAGACAGTAACACAAGATAACGAATCATGACTGATGACTCACTTGGTAAGGATGTTAGTTAGGAGAGATGCATGCAGAGAACACAAGGCGTGGGGGTGAATAGGACAAACAGGCAGTGTGGCTGCACATTCATGCCTAGTGCAGCAGAGCTCCCTCACTACTTTGATGAGTTCCCTGCTTCCTTTTAGCCATGGGCTGGGAGATTCTCTCTCCCTGGAAATTTATCCACACCCTTGGTTTGCTGTCCCTCCCTTGCCTGACCAGGGATTCATCCCAGCTCTCTGAGAGGAGAGGGGACCTTCTTAGACTCTGGTATCCCCTGCAGATGGGGCGGCAGCAGCAGTTCAGACACCTCTTTCTGTCTCTCCCCTCTGGCAGTTGCCCTAAATCTCCAGGGACCAGAAGCAGGGTGTCATGGGGCAGACACTCATCGCCACAGTTCCTCCTGTTGGAAGACTGAGAATTAGCTTGGACCTGTCCGCTGGACACCCCTCTGCCTGGTGCCTCCCTGTGTCAGTTCTGGACCCACGTCTCTCCCAGACCACAGTGTCCTCTTTGGGCAATGCCCATAATTTTTGCGTCTCATCCCCCTTCCGGGGAGGGGGGTGTTTATCCATCTCTGCAGTCCCAGAGAAGCCCCAATTCCTCAATACCTGTCTTGCCTCAATGACCCACTGTTAGTCTTCATCTAGCCCCTGCCATGGGAAAACTGCAGTCTGAAATGGCTGCTCACCATGGGCAAGGAGGGAAAGGGGGTGTGGACCTGCTGCCTCTTTCTAGCCTGCCTGTCTCCCTGCAGCCCAGTACACTCAGGTCGTGCCTCAGGCTCTGTGGCCTGGAATTAAGGCCAGGCAGGGTGCCTCAGTCTCAGGAAGCCCCCAGGTTTCCTGGCAGCCAGGTCTCTCCTCCCCCCTAGAGCAAGAGTGTCTCTCTGCCTCCTGGAGCCCTTATTTATATAGCCCACAGCTGGGCCATAATGGGCGGCACTACCCACCTCAGCTGTGGGCTCTGCTGGGTTTTAACCCTAAAAGGCCAGTGTGGGGCAGACACCCCATCCCAGTGGGTTTCCTCTGCAAGGCAGGGTTTCCCAGCTTTTCACCTCTGTGCCTGTGAGATTACCTTCCCGGAGTGTGCACCGCCCTGCCCTGCTTCCCACAGCTCCTATCAGACTGGAGAACTTGATTGGTTCCAGGAAGCCTGCCTTAGCCCTGCTGTTCAGCCACAGGGGGCCCTGGGCCTTTTTAACTCACCTGGCCTCTGGACACTTGCCCCCTTTGCCCTCTGCCTTGGCTCCACATTGTTCCCAGATGTGGCCGGTGTGACCCATGAGTGAGGGTGGGAGAGAGCAAGCAATGGAGGAAGAGGTATGGAGTGAGCAGGGGCAGAGCCCCAGAAAAGGGGTGGGGTCATGGCCTCAGGTGAGGGTCGGGGCAAGTCTGTTGTGACTAAGGGGGTCTCCTGGGATAAGATAGTTTTGTTAACTACTTGCATGCCTAGAATTTGCGGGGGCAGCCCATTGAACCATAGCTGCACTTTGATTGGCTGCAGATGGAACACACAGCTCTTACAGTGTTGCGTGCAGTCAGCATGCACCTCACTTCATGTGCCCTTACTTTACATGCATGTCACTTTAGTGGCACTGGTAGAAAAAAATACGTGTGGCCAAAAACTAGCAGAATCTGGCAACCCTGTGTGTGGGCAATGGTAATAAAATGTCTCCTGAGCCACACAGCGAACCCCGATGGGCCGCATGTAGCCCTGTGAACACAGGCTATCCTCCACTGCCTTACAGAGTCCAGGGCACAAGAGTCAGACTCTCCTTTGCACATAGTGCCACCCTTGTGCATGGGGTGTCCAAGGCAAACAGGCTAGTTCTTTGCTATGGGTGTGGCAAAGCTGCAACAACTTACTTCTGCCCAGCCCCTGGTGGCACTGCACCGGGTGCGCGTGTGCGCCTGCGCAGGAGGGTTGGCAGCACAAAGCACACAGAACGTTCTGCTGCCTGGCCCAGCCCTGCCAGCCTCCCCCTCCCGCACCCACAGTGTGTCCGTCATCTGCCACTTCCGACTCGGCTCAGCATTTCACAAGCAGGATGTTTGAAGCAAAGCTGGTTCCTCATGCTTTCAGGCAAGAAATAACCATTCCCCTCAGGGAAATTTCCCAGGCATGTGGCATTTCCAGCATACACCCCCCCCAGTGGCCATCGTCTCTTACTGAAGGGAGAGGTCACAGGGCACCTTCACGCCCATCTTCCCGCAGCTCCCTTTGGCTGCAAGGAGCGAAACGGCGCCAGTGGGTGCCGCAAGGCTCCGTGGCTGCAGCGCTGGTCCCTAAACAAACCTGGGCAGCCAGTGAATGCGTTTCTCACAGTGATTCCGCAGAACACTTTCAGAAACGCTGTTCTAGGCCACAGGACTCAGGCCATTGGTTCTGGGTTCCCTCCACCTCTAGCTGGTGCAAACTGAGGTGTCCCAGCCTTGAAGCCCCTGTGTGCAGTTAGCCCTGCACTTCCTTTCTGTGCCACTTTAGCAGGGTAAGGTGTCCCGCTCCACAGCCTGGCATTGGAAGGCGGCTGCCACGATGCACTCTCTAGCTGGGAGCATTGGTGGTTTTGCCTTTGCAGTGGGGTTGCTGCCACCACACCTCTTGGTACCCCAGGAGACAGGGGAAAGGCTGAGGAGCAGTTGCCTTCTGAAGGGGCAGCTGTAGAGAGCATGGTCAGCAGCACTTTATTACCTGCCCAGCTCATCTGCCCATGAGATGGGAGGAAGGCTGCCCCCGGTCAATTACTCTGTGCTGCTGATAGTGCCCCCCACCTGCCCATGTCTGCTGAGAGTGAGGGCTGTGTCTGTATCATGCACAGAGCACTGTGGGGCCTGTCATATGGTCAGCGTGGGAGCACTGACCTCAGCCTGGCAGCAGGCGGGCAGAGCTGCTCCAGCAGGGCTCTATTGCAGTGTTGCATGCAGCAGCCAGGCACTGTACAAGGAACCGGGCTGAAACCATTCCTGGCAGCTCAGGGTGAGCCCCAGAACGTCACAGCAATGCACAAAGCAGCCCTTGTTTGCTTGGCCAGTACATGGGAACCATCTGGTCAATGGCACAGACGTGGCCATTGTGCTCTGCCATCAGCACAACCTCTACCAGGCTCCAGGGGCTTTGCAGCTGGGCCGCCTCCAGTGAATCCTTTGGCTTCTCAGCTGAGAATACCGCAGTGCTCAGAGTGCTTCATGCAGCCTTGGCAAAGGGAGCAGGCGCCCGCCTTGCTGGAGGATTCAGCTGCAGAAGCGGAGACTTTCCACATTTAGTGGGGGCAGGCAGTGAGCTGGCCTCATCTGACAACCATGCCCTTTCCCTGCTTGGCCCCAGGGCAGTGCAGAGCTGCAGCCAGCCTCCACTCAGAGCCACTAGCTCCCAAATGGTAAGGGTGGGGGGTGGCTTTAACTAGGACAACGTTGGACTCCCCCATTTTTTCCCTCAATAGAATTTTTTCTCCAGTGGTTTTTTTTGGGGGTGTGTGTGGGGGGTGTTTGGTATTTTTGGTTAAACCATCTGGCAACCCCTTCCCCCTCCAAAAAAAATCATGTGGGAATAAATTCTGTTGAGAAAAAAAAAGGAGGAGACCAAAGTTGAGGAAAAAAAAGGACCCCGAGAGTTATTAAGCAAAATAAATAAATTAATTAATTAAATAAAAACCCAGCATGACCCCTTTAAGAAATGCTTTTGAGGCTTTTTGGCCCTAACAGGCTGCTGGCAGCCATCCGCCATCTTGTCTTTGTCAATCAAGGACGATAAAGCCATTGCGGATAAATTAAATGATTTCTTTGCTTCAGTCTTCACGGCTGAGGATGTTGGGGAGATTCCCAAATCTGCACCGTCCTTTGTGGGTGATGAATCTGAGGAACTGTCCCGGATTGAAGTGTCATTAGAGGAGGTTTTGGAACAAATAGAAAAACTTAATGTTAACAAATCTCCGGGACCGGATGGTATTCATCCAAGGGTTCTAAAAGAACTCAAATGGGAAATTGCTGAGCTATTATCTGTGGTTTGTAACCTATCCTTTAAATCGGCTTCTGTACCTAATGACTGGAAGGTAGCCAACGTGACACCAATATTTAAAAAGGGCTCTAGAGGCGATCCTTTCAATTACAGACCAGTAAAGTCTAACTTCAGTACTGGGCAAATTAGTGGAAGCAATAG